CACGGTTCAGAACTGTTCACTATTTCGGGGAGAAGATGTGTAAGCGGCCAGATAGCTCAGTCAGTAGAGCCGCAGAACGGTGTTCCGAAGGTCCCGGGTTCGAGTCCTGGTCAGCCTGCACATTTTTCTCACCCTGTGACATATTTATTCAAGAAAATGCATAGTATAAAAATAAAAACATTTAACTTTTACGTCATATACTTCTTTAAAAATACCATATGAAATAAAACAAAATGTACAGTTCTGACTGATCTATGAAATACATTATGGTAAGATCATTCTAGTATCAAGGTACATATGGCATTACTTTTGTTATAGAGGCAAAACCCTCTTCTTGCTTGTAATAGAAATGTGTAGATCATCATGCATCAGTTATCAAAGAACAGTAAAGTGTTTCTTTTTTTTCAAAAAATGGAGGAATAACAAATTTTCTTTTTTTAAATATAAGACATCATGCACTATTTTCATTTGCTTTGTGTATAAAAATATAAGACGAAGAGGTCACTCTAGACATGCAGAACTCATTGTGAAGTCTAACATTAATAAGAGTTGATGATGTATAGGTATATTGACAAAAGGTCAAAAGGTCACTTGGCAGGTTCTCATAGTTGTTTTTCAATACTTTGACTACACATACAAAATAAATAAACAAGAGCTGTCAGAAGGACAGCGCGCTCGACTTTTTTAGTGCTTGCCTATAAAACAAAACTTTGACAGTTAAGGGCACACAAGACTTTAACTAGGAATTTCTAAGTACAAATCAAGAAACATTTTCACAGAGTTATCTTCTCTTGCTTACAGATAGGTCTCATGATGGCACATAAGAACTCCAACTTCCAAAGTAATATCTCAAATGGTTAAGTCAACAAGTGGACAAGAATGAAAATTTTAACTGAGTTTCTAAGTCAAAAAGGGCCATAATTCAAATAAAATCCTTAACAGAATTACCTTCTCCTGCCCATGTTTTGGGACCATGATGGTAAACAAGTATTCCAACTTTCAATTTAATATCTCAACCAGTTCAGTCAAAAAGTTGACTGGTACAAAAAAGTTAACCAAGATTCTAAGTCGATAAAAGGCCTTAATTTTTAAAACAAATCCCTGACAGAGTTACCTTCTCTTGCGTACAGATGGGGGTAATGATGTGAAATAGCATTAAAAGTTTCAAAGCAATATCTCAAAGGGTTAAGGCAATAAGTGGATTTTACCCATATTCAATGTATTTTCTAAGTCAAAAAGGGGCATAATTCTGTCAAAAACCTTGACAGAGTTATGTCCTCATGTCTGTTGATGAAGGTCGTGATGGTAAACAAGTATGGTCAGTTTCAAAGCAATACCTCCAATGGTTTTGAAATAAAGTGAGGTGGTACAAAAAACTTAACCAAGCTCAATACACTTTCTAAGTCAAAAAAGGGCCATAATTCTGTCAAAAACCTTGACAGAGTTATGTACTCCTGTCTGTAGATGGAGGTTATGATGGTGAACAAGTATGGTAAGTTTCAAAGCCATACTTGTAATACTTCTGAAATAAAGTGGGGTGGTACGAAAAACTTAACCAAGGTGTGACGCCAACGCCGACGCCGACGCCGACGCCGGGGCGAGTAGGATAGCTCCCCTTCTCATAGAAAAGTCGAGCTAAAAAGTAATATATATATATATATATATATATATATATATATATATATATATATATATATATATATATATATATATATATATATATATATATATACATGCTGGCATAACTACAAAAAGAGCATTTCACTAACAAACCTTAGAGTATATGACTAAACAAAAAAACAAAACAACTGCTTCCAAAAAACAAATAATACAGTAAAATCAGAAAGCAAAAGGACCATGATGGCCATTAGATCGCTCACCTGTATTTTGTTATTGATCAAACATGGTTAGACACCCATTAGAAAATGTTTCATGCTTAATATGCTATTTTGGTTTTATAAAAGAAGATTTTTTAAGTTTTTACTATATACAAATAAGGAAAATCTATGACGCCCCCCCCCCCCCACAGGGCAAGGTCAATTTTGACCCCAGGGCTTTTATTTGAACAAACTTGGTAGACACTGACTAGACAATGTTTCATGCCAAATAGTTAAGCTCTAGCTCTTTCGGTTTTTTAAAAGATGATTTTTAAGTGTTTTTTTTTTGGTTGCCATGGCAACTATAGTTCTGCATGGAATTAAATTCTTTGAACAATTTTTAAAGTTCACTACCAAAGAAACATTCCTGAAGTTTAGATGAAACTGGCTAAGTGGTTTATGAGGAGATGTTGTTTAAAGTAAAAGTTTCAAACACCAGACAAAAAGTGATCACAAAAGCTCACCATGTCACTTTGTGACAGCTGAGCTAAAAATGTGAATCAACAAGATCCAATCTTTTTACAAATACCACCTTTTAGTCTTTTCGGACGATTTTTTGGCCACATTTAAACCTAATTCATCAATAACTGCTACCTGAACCACGGGTTTTAGCACATCTATAGTAGTCAGAGGGGAAGCACCTTTGTTTTTGTTTGAATCATATTCTTCCTGTTTATAAATGTTTCTAATAATTTTCCAGATAAGTCAAATATTAGTTTATTGAACACACGTCTACTGTTACTTATCAAATCTGAGCCAATCTCTTCATGTGTATAAAATGCTTCTGAAGGGTGGAGATCGGTAAATGGCTCGCCATACTGTCTTTGTTCCTAGAATTCATCTATGGCACTGGAAACTATAGAGACTATTTCTTGCTCCTCATGGGGCACAGCATAAAAAACCTCTGCAAACTTCTTCAGATCAGATCTTGGAACATTTATTTGATCTAAAAGATTAAAAGCAATGAAATTAAAAGAAATGTAGGAAACAAGAGCTGTCAATGAAAAGTGACCCATGCCTACAAAAGGAAGTTGTGACAATTGTGTTAAAAAATTAAAGTAGAAAATCAAACTATGCACAACTAGGCATGGTGACAAACAATCCTGCAAAGTTTCACTGAAATCCACCCAGCGGTTTTGGTGAGAAAAGCGCGGATAAGTTTATTTTACTTGAAAATTGACCATTAGGGGGCCACAACTGTACAAAAACTAGAAATGTGTCATCATGCCACAGATGCCCCCGCATGCAGCCAAAATTTCAGATGTTATTATATTTAGTTCCAAAGTTGTTTGCACAAATTATTTTTTTTCATTTTAAGTTCAAAGCCCTTAAAACGTTTTAATGTTAACACAATATATATGGATATGTCATAAGAAAATACAGGTCAAGTTCGAATTTGGTCATGGTTCGATGATTTTTGGCAGAGTTTCAAAGTTGTTTGCACAAATTATTTTTTTTCATTTTAAGTTCAAAGCCCTTAAAACGTTTTAATGTTAACACAATATATATGGATATGTCATAAGAAAATACAGGTCAAGTTCGAATTTGGTCATGGTTCGATGATTTTTGGCAGAGTTATGCCCCTTTCACTTTGAAAATAATATGAAATTTTCAGTTTAAACCATTTTCAAACAATGTTCAAGGCACTGAAATTATTCAGTATTAACCGTTTGAAAATAGCATATTTCATATTTGTAGCCAAAATAATGGCTACATACATTTCCACAAAAGTATGAGAGCTGAAACTGAAAGTTCAAAATTTTTCCAACATTCAAGAAAGATAAGTTTGTCCAAAATCATTGAACCAAGACCAAATTCAACTTAAACTGCCTTATTCTTAAGATGTATCTATATTATTTTCAAAAGTGAAAGGGACATAACTCTGCCAAAAAATCATCAACCATGACCAAATTCCAACTTGACCTGCCCATTCCTTTGACATAACCATATGTCAAATTTGAGTTGAATATGTAACACTGTTAGGTAGATAATGAACAGAAAACTGAAAAATTTCATATTATTTCAAAGTGAAAGGGGCATAACTCTGCCAAAAAATCATCGAAACCATGACCAAATTCGAACTTGACCTGTATTTTCTTATGACATATCCATATGTCAAGTTGAGTTGAATGTGTTGTACCGCTGGGGAGATAATGAACAGAAACTGAAAATTTCATATTATTTTCAAAGTGAAAGGGGCATAACTCTGCCAAAAATCATCGTATCATAACCAAATTCAAACTTGACCTGTATTTTTTCATGACATATCCATATGTCACATTCGAGTTGAATGTGTGCAACCGTTACTCTAAGATAATGAACGGAAAACTGCATGATGACGGAATGAAACAGAAATGACGGAATATGGGTAAACTTTATATGCCCCGGCCATTACATGGCGGGGGCATAAAAATCAAGCAGAAAAATAAAGAGAGTATGCACAACTAAGCTTGGTAACAAACAATCATGTGAAGTTTCACTGAAATTCCCCAAAACTTTACCTAATAAAATAGTCGGCAATACCACAGTAATAAACATGTACTACCATAGTCTGTTAGATTCCACTGGCCCAATTTTTTCTATTTCTGCTTTAAAATTTCAAAAAATGTGATTAAATGGTGTGTTCTCATAAAAGCAAGGCTAAATTAAATTGTAACAACAAATTCAATATCAATAAAACTGTTTATTTCTACAATAATTTTATTGTTTTAATGAATAAAAGTCTTGGTCATGTATGACCATGATATTGCTCAAAGTGATAAATAAAACGTCTGGGCATTCTTCTCAGATCAAGCTGGGCACTTGTGTGCAACCACTGACCCCACTTTAATGTACAGTAGCTAAATAGCTTTCCAACATGAAAGGGCTATAAAGGTCTTGTTCGGATTTGAACCATTGCAGTAAAGATGATTTCAAAGTTAGTGACCGCAACTGTTTGACCACAGAGGCCTCTTCTCAATTTCCAGCCATTTCATGTAGTTGTAGCGGATAAATTGGTTACAATATTTTGCTGATAGCATTTTAAAAGTTTCTAAGCATAAAATACTTCATCAAAGATCTTAAGTTATAAATAATTAAGCTAATAGTATTAGGTTTGGAATGAATAAAACTGTATATACCATAAAACACTTGGGAGAGCAAGGGCCGCCCCCTGCCGCACTGATGGTATATTATCTTGTAGATTGTTGAAAAACAGTGGATACAATGCTGGTATAGATGACCTGAAAAATACAGTTGATCTATGTTGGATTTTATATTTAGAAAATATCTATTATGATTGTCTTGTTGCATAAAAATGCACCGTAGAGTTCAAATACGCAGGAATACAATCACAAAGGCCGAAAAAAACCTTAGTGATTTAATTACAAAGAATTTGAACAATAAACAGTGCATTATTATAATTTATCACATAGCTGTGCTGCTTTTGCGATTCTCTAAAATATGGTAATGCACAGGTTGTGTATATATTTTTAAATGTGTTATCATTTGCATTATACAATCATAGCAAAAAAAAGATGCAGGAAATGTCAGTGTACACTTTAAAAATGCATCAATGAAAAAGTGTTTTCTTTTCACTGTTCACATTTCTTATTTTAGATATGTGATAAAAAGAATATAAGATTTGTGTAGCTTCATTACTAAAATAAATGAACAAGTTAAAACCAGAATAATAATTTGAGCCGTGTCATGACAAAAACCAACAGCATTTTGCGCAGTCTGATCAGGATCCATGCTGTTCGCTATCAGTTTCTCTACTTGTAATAGGGTTTGTAAGCGAACAGCATGGATCCTGATCAAGACTGTGCGGATGCGCAGGCTGGTCTGGATCCATGCTGGTCGCAAAACGCATTATGTTGGGTTTTGTCGTGACTCGGCTCATTTGTTCTCCAGAAAACATTATTAAAAGTAAGAAAATAATGTAGATGGATTTAAAGATAAAAGTAAACAACTCTTTGCACATTATATGAGCTTAATGGAATAAACTGGCTCTATAAAACATAAACAGAAGGACAGTCAAACAAGGGAAATCATATCGTAAATATCAATACTAGAGTTATGGGTCATGTCCATTAACCAAACAATCATAAAAGAAAGGTTGTGGAGACAGGCCTTTAATGAAAGCCTGAACCATGATTTTCTATAGAGTTTTAGGAGAGGTATAATTCTGTGAGAAAAAAAAATGTCCTGCAAAACTTATTGGTCTAGGAAATTATATGCAATTATTACCCTAAAATAAGTGTCAAGTTCATGCAAATACCCACAGGAAAATTTATTGCAAGGACTCAGGTATGATTTTCACATTTTACCATCTCTAACTGTCCAGCTGTCATCACTAAAACAGATTAGAAGAGCCTCTAACAACCTTGGAATATACATGTCCACAACATCTTTGTTCACCTATAAATACAAATATATATGTAGGTAAATTCTTCAACATAACTTTTCAACATAAGTTTATTTTAAAACAATTATAATGTAACAATGATATTTGTTATCATATGTTTGGAGTTAATTTAAGTTGCAATTTCACCACAAAATTAAATTATTTATTACCAGAACAGACCTTCATATATGTCGAGCCTATTATAATTGGTCAGACTGCACAGATAAACTGACTGGCAAAATATTACTATGTTCACACTGTCAACTTGTGATCTAATTAAACTCTGTCACTCAAATAGTTATCACTTAACAGTGGATTTTACTTCTAACTATAGATGACAACAAGTACTGATTTCAGTACTCAAATACTTTTGCATTTTTACGACGGAGTTCTCAGTCACACGAAATATTTCGTTTATAACCATACCCTATTATCAGATTCTGTCAAATCCTTAATAAGGTCAAAGACAGATAATATATGTAGACTACTATATATATATATTCTTAATTTGAGTCTCATCCATACATAACAACATAAAACAATTCAATGACATAATTTTACAAAGTAAAAGTTATTATGTACTGCCATTCATAAAATTTTAATCTAATGGAAGGGAGGCAACTCTGCAAAAAATGTCCAATGTCACTTACAGAGTTACCTCTCTTCTCATTGCATATTCATATGCATATTACAACTTAAAATTGCTAAAATAACAAACTATTGCTAATCTTGTTCTAAAATACTTATAGAGTTTCTGGTAATATTGCTTTACAGTAAAAACCCTTAAAATGTTCTCTTCCTTAAACCCGTAAAATTACACTGAATAACAATAGATTCTTAAACTATAAAATCATAATGTGGATAAAATTATTTCGCATCATTGGAAAGATAAAACCTGTGAGTAAAAATAAAACATTATTCAAATTTAAGTGACTGTACATATAATGTCTTCGCCTAAAAATAAAATAAAATAAAAAAAAACGATCAGTTACTAATCATTAACTATGAGTATGTTTACCCTTTCAAGAGACCTCGAGAGTTTATCCTTGTCTAATGATTAAAAGTATTAAAATATTACTAACCATAAAATCAGGCTAATAAATACACTGACTAGTACAATTTCTCAATAATATAATGTAAGACTCTCAGTTTGTTGGATAAAATGTTTAACAATTAACATTAACATTATAAGAGACAGTTCTCAGGAATATAACCAGTTAGTTCTACTTTTTAAGAATATTGAAACAGGATTTTGAAGCACACTTTACAATTTCAGTATTGGATAAAATGAACGACAATTTATTGTCATCAGACAGCCTTAAAAATTGATCATTTACATTTTCGGCTTTGGCAAATAAATCTTTCCTAATATCCTCATACCTTGGACAATATAAAATAACATGTTTCTCATCTTCAATGCCAGTTTTACAGATTGGACAAATTCTTTGGTTTAATGCTAACCCTTCATATCTGCCTGTTTAGAGTCTAATAGGGGCTACCCCACATCGAAACTTTGCAAATGCTGCTCTATTATGTTTCCTTGTTTAACTGTTAAAGATCCTGTATGTTTTGTGATTGATATTGTTACTGTGTGTGAACCACACTTACAAGAAATTATATATGTATATAATAATGCAAATAAAACAATTTTTAAACATCGAAGAATATGATTAATAATATCTGTCATATTTTGCGGTTCGGATCGGAATATCCGTCCCGAGGTGACCCTCCCATTGGGCGGTAACGAGGCTTGCCGCAAACATATGTCAGATATTTTTTCTTGCATATTCTACCATATTCCATTATATTTTAAATTCTTTATCTTTATTTTCAATGAAAATTTATATCATTACAACCGTAACTACTTTCATTTAACAGCGACGAATTACAAAATCATTCATAACGGTAAAAATGACGTCATCTTTATCGTGCCATTGATTTACAGCACGCGACTCATCTGGAACCCCCATGCCAGATGAAATTTCCGGCATGGGTAAAACTAATGGAAACGCCAGTCTGATATGCAAGAAAAATATGTACTGCAAATATTTGTGCACAATACAATGTATATGTCATCAATAAATTATATGCATTCGTTTCTTATTTAGAATTGATAGAAAATAAATTTCCAATTTATAATCTCCCTTTATTTACATGAAATGTTAAATTCCGTAATATCTTTATTGGAAGTTGCCATATTGACAAATCTTAATTTGAGCATCATATTTACAAAATAAAACCATGAAAAAATTGTGTTACAGGATCTTTCACTCTATTTGTCAACTATTTGCGTTTTTAACATGATGAGAATTATAACAAGAGCTGTCAGTAGGACAGCACGCTCGACTATTCTAAGTGCTTGATAGTAAAAGAGCCTTGATAATGTTAATTTTTTTAAGTTCACAAAAGGGCTAATTTTTTTTATAAATTCATGTAATAGGCCTTAGAGAGAGTCTAATTATTCAGTATTGGCTTGACTATTTGGAAGGTAATGTCACAAGGGTGTTTTATTGAGTATAATAATACTAATTACCTATGAATACATAAATTTGACAGAAAAGGTACAAAGGCTTGTTATTAAGATGTTTTATCAAGTAAATCACTGCTTTATCATTATGAATGCATAAATTTGTCCCAAAAAAGGCACAAACCCTTCAGTAGTTATTGAGATAACTGCTTACAAGCAAAAACTTTACCATGAATTTCTAAGTTGAAAAAAGGGGAGAAAAATCAGCCTAAATGCAAGATAGAATAATGGATCTTTGTCAGTGACCTTCAATTATGACCCTAAATGCATATGTGAAATTTTAAATAAATATCTTTAATAGTTATTGAGATATGTATAACTTGCATGTAAACATTAACCAAGAGACTAAGTAGAAAAGGGGATATGAATCAGCCTTAATGTAAGATAGGGTTATGGAACTTGGTCAGTGACATACAATTATGACCCTCCAATTATGACCCTAATGTGCATGATTGTGTAAAGTTTCAAGTAAATATTTTTGAAGACCTGTAACCTTTAACCAAAATTTCTAAGTTTCAAAGGGGCAAATAATTCTGCAAATATTGCAGGCAGAGATATGCAATTTTGCAAACTGATGTACATTGTTACTATAAAAAAAGTATTTTAAATTTCAATTGAATATCTCAAGCAATAATTGAGATAAAAAACTTTAACCAAAATTTCTAAGTTAAAAAGGGGCATAATTCTGTCAATATTGTAGGCATAGTTATCCAACTTGTCAATCTGATGTACCTTGTTACTATAAATAAGTATTGTAAGTTTCAATTGAATAACTCAAGTAATAATTGAGATATTTGACTTTACAAAAAACTTTAACCAACGCAGACGCCGACGCGGACGCTGACGCCGACGCCGGGGCGACTACAATAGCTCTCATATTCTTCGAATAGTCGAGCTAAAAATCTATATGTAATTATTTATGTTGGGTTTTACATTGCACCAATGCTTTTATGGAGGCTATTCGTTGCCAAAAATCCAGCCTTGTTGATCTGAGTTGAACAGTTTGTTAATGGAAAAAAATACAATTGTATTTCTTTGTATGTAAAACTCCAATGTTGCATTCTTGGATTGAGTTTGCCGATTTAAAATTGAAAAACATGCATTTCAACAAAATACATTTTGTTAAACGACATAACATTAACTGATAGTAGCAATACCAAGTGTTCGAACACTCAAAACAAAAGTTACATTCTTAGCTTTACACTGTCAAACCATCATGATTCAGATCAGCATAATCCAGCTTTACACGTTTTTCAATAGGAGATAAAATAAGCTCCGTCCATTTCCCCACCCACTAAATCATCGTAAATAAACGTGTTTTCCGCTCATTTTCGGTATTTACCGTCGGCGACAGGAAGCGGCGTATTTTCCGTTTATCATACCTTTTAGGTGTTTAGTTACTTAACATAATTCACTTGCATGATTGCCTACAATCAACATCAGTGGACTTTTAAGAATATAGGCATATAAGTTTTAAAACATTGTAGACACCACATTTCCTGGAAAAAAGAAACTTAAAAGAAACACCAAAAACACCAGGTTACATACTGTCTGAGGTTAAATATTTTTCAAGGAAGTGTAAACGATTGAAAAGACTATATTCAACGACAAATAATTTTTACTGATGGTATTCCAATTTGCATAGGAATGAGTAACATTTACAGTTAAGCTGCTACCTTACCACTTTCAAAATTTCAAGTCAACATCTGATAAAGATTTTGATAGGAGTAATTACTAATACAGACCAAATTCTGGCTGTTGTCTTTCCTAGTAGTACTATTATATTAGTAACCTTAATTCTAGCGTACGACTTGACAAGAAAAAAAACCTTTAACGATAGTAAAATTATAACCAAAGTTGTATGTACCCTTTCGTACATAACTTTTTATTTTTACCTTATATTTTCCCATTTTCCCCATTTTGTTTTTCAATAAGTAAAAATTAAATGTCCAAATGTATGTATGTTGATTATCAATTTATGTATACCTTGTTTATTTTATCTCTTAGAAAGCCATCAATTACAAAACTTAATAAATATTCTGTGTAGTATTTCATGTAAATGAAAGAAGTTCTCTGTTTTGATCATATAGACAGCAAATCTAGACAGCAAATCTAGGTAACAGCTAATGACAGCATGTATACACATATTTTAGAGGTGCTATTGATTCAGCACAATGCATAAAAAGACCTTAACCTACGCCAGCTTACACATATTTAACAATAAAAGGCTAAATCACATCCTTTGACTCAAAATACCTCCCAATGGAGGTGAACAGAGTTGCCAGGATACACTGAATATTTATTTCAACATCAAAATGGGACAAATTCACAAATTTTGGTTATACAACGGAATTATCGATAGTAAACTTTGCATTGTTTCGAGGTTATACACTTGGTCAAAAATAGGAGTTTTTCATAGTCCTTTAAAGAATGAAGGCACAGGCTTATTGTTCAGTTCTCTTTATTCGTGATCCATGTATCGCATTCTAATATTATTTGCTGAAGGTAAAAAAAAAGATACGCTGTAGAGTATTGCCGTGGCTCACAAAACCCTATCTTTAATATCAATGATTAGTGATGTGTGTCATTATATATGGGAAACATTTCCTTATTTTATTTCACCAACTTTAGTTTTTGCATATTATTATGCTCATTATCAGTATATACGTTGTTACATTTTTACATTATATCTTAACTAATTTTGCTTTACTTGAATATACTGTACTAGAATACGTTTTAAAAAAATCAGAGGATGTTCAAAGTCAAGATAGATGTAACAGTTTCTATATAATTTGAAATATTTTTGTACCAGCAAGAGTTACCTCTTTTTATATTCTGCTTTCGTGAAATTGGCTCCGCCTATTAATTTTCGCTTATTTCCGTGATAATTCCATATATGGAAGTTGCAAAATCGTTTACAAATGTTTATCGCGTTAGAATGTAAAAGGATAGCGTGGTGTTGTAAATCTGAGTATGTCAAGTTGATGCAGTTCCATTCTCAATGTCATGATGCACAGCGTTAAACGTATTGTGTACGTTCTATCGTTTACATTTCTACATGTCGCAAATTTGAAGTTATACATTTATAAATACAGTTTGCAATTTATCTAAGTTGCATGTTAACAGCTTTCATTTTATCAAATAGAGGTAATAAAAATGCTACATACCAGTGCAGTATGTAACTCTCGGATCGACAATTAGATTTTTACTAATCTGTTTAGTAGAACCGAAGTATGCATTGTCAAGTTTAAAAGGCTGGATTTTTGGCAACGAATAGCCTCTATATGCTTTAGAGGTTACATGGCGACTTTCCAGCTTTTCTTGAGGTGCCACTCAGTGTATTATTTTAGGCACCAAAGGGAACCTGACAAGAACCACCAAGGTTCCATAAGCTATATGGATAGCTTCTTCACATGAAAGAATTCAAAGGTGGTGATGAGATTCAAACCCATAGCAAGAGGGGCAAGTAGTATGTAGTCAACATTCTTAACCACTTAGCAACAGATGCCCCTTTACATGTAATAAGGGCAAAATAAAAAAATTGTGTTTGGTCTAATTTTTCAAAATGACCCACTTATTTTGGAGTCAATGCTGTTTCACCTTCCTTTTTATGTATTGGCTGAATAGTACTGACTGCAATAGGTCCGTCTGCCATTATAACATGAAATCATTTTTTCTACAAACACTAATAGTTGTTTCCGACACACACACAATTTTCATGAATACCAGAACTTTTTTTATTGAGAAATAATGTTGTTATTTATCAGTAATTCACTTTCAGATTTATAATATTTTGGTTGGAAACTATGTTGTTATGTTGTATGCAAGACCTTTGAAATTAGTGCTGATCTGAATTTAGTGATTTTTACTATACCTGAACATCAGACAAGTTTTCACAGCACAATATTTGGTAATTAAGTATCAAAAGTAGAAATATGATATACCGTAAATTTCCTATTAAACGCCCCCGGGGGCTAAACATTTTTTAAAAGAGGGGGCTATTATTAACCCATTACTTCATGAGCATTTTGTGAAAAATGGCTGTTTTCATTGAAAAGTCTCCCGTTACAAGTTCAAATTGCTATAATACTATTAAAACTGCTTCAACACTAATCAAACTTGGCACAATGTTGACTGGACCATTGCCCTTGCAACAACATGCTCAGGCTTAAATTTTCTGTTACCATGGCAACGAAGGGACATCTCAAAATTGCCAAAAATCACTATTTTGCGTTGATTTTTTCCATCAAAATTGATTTTAAAATGCTGCAACTTCTCAATGGATTGAGATAGAGTCAAATGCTTTTCAGCGTTGGTTACAGTAACACGTTACCTTATGATCAATCTGGGGTCATTTATAGCCTCTCACAAGTCCAAAATTTTCTTGGTGATGAGGGGGAGTACGCCCCCTTCAAACCCCCCAAACAGAAGGGGGCACATCCCCTTCTGGCAACCCCCTGGTGTATCTTTTGGTTGGGGGCCACTCCAAAAAAGAGGTCACTTTTTTTAAAACATTTCTCAAACAAAAACAAGTGTTGGGGGCCTAAATAAGGCATTTTTTCACCATTTGAGACAACAAAAAGGGGGGAGGTGAAAAAGGCGTTAAAAGGCGTGTATATAACGTAATGGGTTAAAACACTTTTTTTCCTAAATCCAAAAATCATTGTAAATACATTTAGTGTTAGCAAGTGTATGTAATAGCATTAAAATCGTTAAGGTTTTAAAGTTCATATGATATATTTTTGTGTTTACTTAAAAATAAAATGGATTCTGAATGATTCAAATAAAATTATGGATTTACTCATGAGTTCAGCATAGATGAGTAGATTTTTTCCATATCAAAAAGCTTGGGGGCCTTTATTAGGATAGGGGCGTTTATTAGGAGTTTCACGGTAAGTGACTGAGCTGCTATTTATTACATTCACCTGTCAACTGTTAAATGTTTTGTTTAACCATTTACCATAAAATATTCAAGCCTATACACTCATTTTGGCTCTAATAACTAAGACATTGCCATTCCCACTTCTAAAAAGATTTTCATGTTTTGCAAAATGGATATTGTCTACCAGACATTGTGTTTTAAGACACAGCTTTACTGCTGAAAAGAATTCCTCAAGTGCCCAATTGTGCAATTATTTCAGGCATGAGTTGGCCATGAGACGGCCACATGGTATAACGTACATTCAGTCAGGATTTGAGCCTAAACTGGTATAAGTCAAGTGATATGAAGAGATTAAATCAGAGATTGATATTTACCTCCAAATTTTGCAATACATGCACTGGCAGCTTCTCTCACAGCATGGTTGTCTGCCCATATCCCTTCTATATATATGTATTAGTCAACCTTTAAAGTTAAAGTAAACAAGATATGTTTGTAAAACATGTATGCCCCCTATCAGCAGCCAATTAGTCATGTGATAAGGTTATTATGCATGACTTTTGACCCAGTGATCAAACAATTAATAAGGGTTATAAAGTATCTACTGGTCATGACCTTGACCTTTGACCCCTTGACCCAAAACTCAATAGGGGTCATCTGTTGGTCACGACCAATCATCATACAAAGTTTGAAGTTCCTAGGCCTAGGCGTTTTTAGTAAATTGATCAGAAACCGTTTTTACCTACAAGGTCAATGTGACCTTGACCTTTGACCCCTTGACCCCAAAATCAATAGGGGTCTTCTGCTGGTCATGACCAATCACCATGCCACGTTTGAAGTTCTTAGGCCTAAGGGTTCTCTTATTATTGATCGGAAACCGTTTTAACATACAAGGTCAATGTGACCTTGACCTTTGACCCCAAAATCAATAGGGGTCATCTGCTGGTCATGACCAATCACCATGCCAAGTTTGAAGTTTCTAGGCCGAAGCGTTCTTTAGTTATTGATCAGAAACCGTTTTTACTTACAAGGTCATTGTGACCTTGACCTTTGACCCCTTGATCCCAAAATCAATAGGAGTAATCTGCTGGTCATGACAAAATCACAATACCAAGTTCCTAGGCTTAAGCGTTCTTGAGTTATTGATCAGAAACCGTTTTTTTACTTAAAGGTCAATGTGACCTTGACCCCTTCACCTTAAACTCAAATAGGGGTCATCTGCTGGTCATGACCAATCATCACACAAAGTTTGAAGTTCCTAGGCCTAAGCGTTTTTTTAGTAAATTGATCGGAAAACCGTTTTTACCTACAAGGTCAATGTGACCTTGACCTTTGACCCCTTGACCCCAAAATCAATAGGTCATCTGCTGGTCATGACCAATCACCATACCAAGTTTGAAGTTCCTAGGCATAAGGGTTCTTAAGTTATTGATCGGAAAGCATTTTTACCTACAAGGTCAATGTGACCTTGCCCTTTAACCCCCTTAACCCCAAAATCAATAGGGGTCATCTGCTGGTCATGACCAATCACCATACCAAGTTTGAAGTTCCTAGGCCTAAGGGTTTTTTAGTTATTGATCGGAAACCGTTTTTACCTAAGAGGTCAATGTGACCTTGACCTTTGACCCTAGACCCCAAAATCAATAGGGGTCATCTACTGATCATGACCAATCACCATCTCAAGTTTGAAGTCCCTAGGCCTAAGGGTTCTTTCATTATTGATCGGAAACCGTTTTTACCTACAAGGTCAATGTGACCTTGACCTTTGACCCCTTAACGCCAAAATCAATAGGGGTCATCTGATTGGTCATAACCAATCACCATACCAAGTTTGAAGTTCCTAGGCCTAAGGGTTCTTTTGTTATTGATCAGAAACCGTTTATAATTTTAAAAGGTCAATGTGACCTTGACCTTTGACCCCTTGACCCCAAAATCTATACGGGTCATCTACTGATCATGACCAATCACCATACCAAGTTTGAAGTTCCTAGGCCTTAAGGTTCTTTAGTTATTGATCGGAAACCGTTTTTACCTACAAGGTCAATGTGACCTTGACCTTTGACCCCTTGACCCCAAAATCAATAGGGGTCATCTACTGATCATGACCAATCACCATACCAAGTTTGAAGTTCCTAGGCCTTAAGGTTCTTTAGTTATTGATCAGAAACCGTTTTTTGCTTACAAGGTCAATGTGACCTTGACCTTTGACCCCTTGACCCCAAAATCAATAGGGGTCATCTACTGATCATGACCAATCACCATACCAAGTTTGAAGTTCCTAGGCCTTAAGGTTCTTTAGTTATTGATCGGAAACTGTTTTTGCTTTTAAGGTAAATGTGACCTTGACCTTTGACCCCTTGACCCCAAAATCAATAGGGGTCATCTACTGGTCATGACCAATCACCATACCAAGTTTGAAGTTCCTAGGCCTTAAGGTTCTTTAGTTATTGATCGGAAACCGTTTTTGCTTTCAAGGTCAATGTGACCTTGACCTTTGACCCCTTGACCCCAAAATCAATAGGGGTATCTACTGGTCATGACCAATCACCATACCAAGTTTTTGAAGTTCCTAGGCCTTAAGGTTCTTTAGTTATTGATCGGAAACCGTTTTTGCTTTCAAGGTCAATGTGACCTTGACCTTTGACCCTTGACTCCAAAATCAATAGGGGTCATCTACTGGTCATGACCAATCACCATACCAAGTTTGAAGTTCCTAGGCCTTAAGGTTCTTTAGTTATTGATCGGAAACCGTTTTTTGCTTTCAAGGTCAATGTGACCTTGACCTTTGACCCCTTGACTCCAAAATCAATAGGGGTCATCTACTGGTCATGACCAATCACCATACCAAGTTTGAAGTTCCTAGGCCTAAGGTTCTTTAGTTATTGATCGGAAAACTGTTTTTGCTTTCAAGGTCAATGTGACCTTGACCTTTGACCCCTTGACCCCAAAATGAATAGGGTCATCTACTGGTCATGACCAATCACCATACCAAGTTTGAAGTTCCTAGGCCTTAAGGTTCTTTAGTTATTGATCGGAAACCGTTTTTGCTTTCAAAGGTCAATGTGACCTTGACCTTTGACCCCTTGACCCAAAATCAATAGGGGTGTCATCTACTGGTCATGACCAATCACCATACCAAGTTTGAAGTTCCTAGGCCTTAAGGTTCTTTAGTTATTGATCGGAAACCGTTTTTGCTTTCAAGGTCAATGTGACCTTGACCTTTGACCCCTTGACCCCAAAATCAATAGGGGTCATCTACTGGTCATGACCAATCACCATACCAAGTTTGAAGTTCCTAGGCCTAAGGGTTCTTTAGTTATCACTCGGAAACCATTTGGTCTACGGACCGACGGACCGACAAGTGCAAAGCAATATACCCCCTTTTTTTCAAAATGGGGGCATAATAACATGTATTGACTGAAAGGTAGATAAACAAAAACAATACATCAACAGTGATTTTCATTCTTTTTTAACAGACTCCGATAAAAGGCCTCTTCCCAATTGAAATTTTCTTTAAAATCTTTAACCTGCTTATTTACTTCCCAAATTAGCAATTGTAGTGATAATTCTTCCGAAAATCAAGAGGTCAAGGCCTCTTCCAAATTAAGTGATCACACTCTGTCTTCTAAACCAATGTTGAACAGGTGTCACAGGACAATGTAAGTACATGTATATCAAGTATACATGTATATCAAGTATATGTATATATCAAGAATAATACATACTACAATTTGTATACTGATGATACATCAAGGCATAAAAATTGTAAAGATTAAACAATATTTATTTTTATTTCAGATTTTATTAAAATATTTTCTAATATTTTTTATTAAATCATTGGGACATCCAGAAGTGTGCTTAGGGACATGAGAGATGTTTAACCTTTCTATTATCCTCTCTTGAACAAAATTTACCTTGTAATAAAATTCAAATCTGCAAATTTTTTAAAAACTTTTTTGTTTTCTGTTGTAACCCGAGGGATCTCTCCCTTCCAAAAATTTATTTTTAATAAAAGGAGTAAATGGAGTGACACATGCCAATAATAGAGAAATAATGTTGTGAGACAGGGAAATGAAATTATCCATTCTAGTTCTAAATTTGTAATGTAAAATTTATCTTCTTTTGGAATCTGAACTGCCCATCGTTAATATTATGTATACTGTATTTACTGTATAATGGTCAATTTTTTTTGCAACATGGAAATTGCGGCCCAAATGCTGATTCATCATTTTACCATTACACCGGTGTACAGATTACTATGTAAATATATCACGTTAAAAGTGACATCAACTTAAGTAAAATAATCGAGCCGGTAAAAAAGTTACATCAACTTTAGTAAAGTCATAGATGGCCATTCTGATTCATCATTTTTACCATTACAACCGGTGCACAGATTACTATGTAAATATACCATTACAACGGTGCACAGATTACTATGTAAATATACCATTACACCGGTGTACAGATTACTATGTAAATATACCATTACACCGGTGTACAGATTACTATGTAAATATACCATTACAACGGTGCACAGATTACTATGTAAATACCACCATTACACCGGTGTACAGATTACTATGTAAATATACCATTACACCGGTTTTGTGTACAGATTACTATGTAAATATACCATTACACCGGTGCACAGATTACTATGTAAATATACATTACACCGTGTACATGTAAATATACCATTACACCGGTGTACAGATTACTATGTAAATATACCATTACACCGGTGCACAGATTACTATGTAAATATACCATTACGTGTACAGGTTCACCGGGTGTACATGTAAATATACCATTACACCGGTGTACAGATTACTATGTAAATATACCATTACACGGGTGCACAGATTACTATGTAAATATACCATTACACCTGTGCACAGATTACTATGTAAATATACCATTACACCGGTGCACAGATTACTATGTAAATATACCATTACACCGGTGCACAGATTACTATGTAAATATACCATTACACCGGTGCACAGATTACTATGTAAATATACCATTACACCGGTGCACAGATTACTATGTAAATATACCATTACACCGGTGTACAGATTACTATGTTATATACCATTACACCGGTGCACAGATTACTATGTAAATATACCATTACACCGGTGTACAGATTACTATGTAAATATACCATTACACCGGTGCACAGATTACTATGTAAATATACCATTACACCGGTGTACAGATTACTATGTAAATATATCATTACACCGGTGTACAGATTACTATGTAAATATATCATTACACCGGTATACAGATTACTATGTAAATATACCATTACACCGGTGCACAGATTACTATGTAAATATACCATTACACCGGTGCACAGATTACTATGTAAATATACCATTACACCGGTGCACAGATTACTATGTAAATATACCATTACACCGGTGCACAGATTACTATGTAAATATACCATAACACCGGTGTACATGTAAATATACCATTACACCGGTGTACAGATTACTATGTAAATATACCATTACACCGGTGTACATGTAAATATACCATTACACCTGTGCACAGATTACTATGTAAATATACCATTACACCGGTGCACAGATTACTATGTAAATATACCATTACACCGGTGTACATGTAAATATACCATTACACCGGTGTACAGATTACTATGTAAATATACCATTACACCGGTGCACAGATTACTATGTAAATATACCATTACACCGGTGCACAGATTACTATGTAAATATACCATTACACCGGTGCACAGATTACTATGTAAATATACCATTACACCGGTGTACAGATTACTATGTAAATATACCATTACACCGGTGTACAGATTACTATGTAAATATACCATTACACCGGTGTACAGAGTACTATGTAAATATACCATTACACCGGTGTACAGATTACTATGTAAATATACCATTACACCGGTGTACAGATTACTATGTAAATATACCATTACACCGGTGCACAGATTTACTATGTAAATATACCATAACACCGGTGAACATGTAAATATACCATTACACCGGTGTACAGATTACTATGTAAATATACCATTACACCGGTGTACATGTAAATATACCATTACACCTGTGCACAGATTACTATGTAAATATACCATTACACCGGTGCACAGATTACTATGTAAATATACCATTACACCGGTGTACATGTAAATATACCATTACACCGGTGTACAGATTACTATGTAAATATACCATTACACCGGTGCACAGATTACTATGTAAATATACCATTACACCGGTGCACATATTACTATGTAATATACCATTACACCGGTGCACAGATTACTATGTAAAATATACCATTACACCGGTGTACAGATTACTATGTAAATATACCATTACACCGGTGTACAGATTACTATGTAAATATACCATTACACCGGTGTACAGATTACTATGTAAATATACCATTACACCGGTGTACAGATTACTATGTAAATATACCATTACACCGGTGTACAGATTACTATGTAAATATACCATTACACCGGTGTACAGATTACTATGTAAATATACCATAACACCGGTGTACAGATTACTATGTAAATATATCACTTTAAAAATAACATCTTGTTATATCCAAGCAAACATTAAACATGATTTAATGTTCATTTAATTTTTCATACAAAGAAATAATAATGAAAAAGGTTCATAATGTATTGGCGACCTAAACATTTACTAATATTACCAGGAGTTCTGGAAATTGTACTTTCGCAAATATTTCCGCATGCAAAAAGTCTGTTTTCTTACATTCAAAAACATTTTGTGATGTAAGAATATTCACTTATACAGTATACATTGACAGAACCTAAGAATATGAAAAAAATCTTCATTGTTTCATCAATTTTATAACAAAAATTTTAAAGAGCAATAAAACTCTTCAAAAAATCCTGAAAACTTTTACCCATGCCCTGCATTATTAAATGCAACAAGGGTGAACATTGTCACTAAATATGCCTGTCACAAATGTGGGCAATAAGAAGAGTGGCAAGCAAGTTGGTCCCTATAAATAATTTGTATTTTCATCTGAAATTTTATCTCGTCTGTATTATGTGTGACCTTGAACTTGATTGCAGGGACCTGAATTTTTGCACAACACTCAGCCTCACAATGATAAAAATCATAATATTAAAGTCACTCAATGCATGTAGGATTGTTTTTTTGTTGTTTTTTTTCAAACAAGAGCTGTCGGTAGGACAGCAACGCTGGACTTTTCTTAGTGCTTGATAGTAAAAAAAGCCTTGATAATGTAAAATATTCTAAGTTAACAAAAGGGCAAAACATTTTCTCTTTAAATCCATGTTACAGTTATAGGCCTTGAAGAGAGTCCTATTATGCTCTCAATGATGAGTATAAAATTTCAAATTCTTTCAAAGCCAGATGTCAATAGATTATGAAATTATCTGAGGTGGTATGCAAACAAACATAAATTTTAAGTGGAAAAAAGGGCATTATTTTGCAAAAAAAATGATTGATACAGTTACCTCCTCCTGTCTACAGATTGGGGTAATGATGATGAATAAGTGTGCATAGCTTCAAAGCCATATGTCAATGGACTTTGAAAATATTTGAGGTATTACAAAAATTGTCACTTAAATTCTAAGATGATAAAAGGGGCATAATTTTGTCAAAATGCTTGATACAGTTACCTCCTTCTGTCTACAGGTTGGGGTCATAATGGTGAACAAGTGTGCAAAGTTTCAAAGCCATATGTCAATGGACTTTGAAAATATTTGAGGTATTACAAAAACTTTAAAATAAGTGGTTATGCAGACGCCGACACTCAATTGACTACAATAGCTCTACTTATTCTAATCAAATAGTCGAGCTAAAAAATCTAAATGTGACCTTTGACCTCTATGTGTGAACTTTATTTCAGGGACTTGACTTTTTTTTGCGAAACACTACACCTTACAATGGTGCACATTTGTGCCAAGTTATGTTAAAAAACTCCCTATGAAACTAAACGTTTTCTCCAGACAAGCGTTTTTAAATTAGCTCTAAGTGTGGTCTTGATCTTTGACCTAGTGACCTTGATCATGTGTGGAGCAATATGTTTTCCTGGTGGTTAACAGTTCTATAAAGTAAGTTAGAGATATGCTCCAGACAGAATCTGGATATTTCATCATCTTAAGTGACCTTGACCTTCCATATATTGACTTAAATTACATGTATCACAGCTTTAGGCATGATAATGACTATTTGTGTAACAATCCCTCAATTAACGATGTCAAAATGGTCCAAATACACATCATCATATTTTTATCTGAACTCTGACCTCTATGTGTGTCCTTAATATGGCCGCAAGGACCTGAATTTTTTGGTGCGACACTACGCCTCATAATGGTTAAAATTTATGCCAAGTTATATTGAATCCTTAAATGCATGCAGAAGTTTTTTGCGGACAAGCATTTTCCAATTACCTCTAAGTGTGACCTTGACCTAGAGAATTGGTTCATGTGTGTGACATGGGTTCTTATAGTGGTAAACATTTAAATGAAGTTTCATTAAAGTCTCCCTATTTGTGAAGAGATATGCTCCAGACAAAAGTGGATGCCACCCACACTCCATCCCCCTGCTCGCCAGGCGTTCCTATATTATGTCCCGTTTTTTAAACTGGTGTATAAAGTTCAGTAATATTGTTTAGTTAAACAGCAAGAAAGAGCAGATTGAGTGTGACTTACCACTTGTCCGATGTACCAGTTGTTTCCCCTGCTCTCCCATCACTTGTTTCCATGTGTCCTGTGAGTAAATACGGAGACCTTCGGCTACGTAATATCTGAAACAAATACACATTTTATGATTTAAGATCATATCATTTCAGACATTTCTACTCTCAAAGGGTAGCATTTTTGTTTCTTGATGTGCACAAAAATATTTCAAAATATTTATTCAATAATTATTTATTTACAAATTGTTGGTAACGTAGCGTTTATGCATTTTTTCTGACATTCAAAGAAACAAACATATTGTCATAAAACACCAATGGCCTATAAATCTACTCAATGTAAGAAAGTTGCTTAAAAAATTTCCTGAAATGTGACATAATCATTGTTATACAAGAAGCGCCGCAATGCAAGGAAAACCAGGTTTTCAACTACCAAGTATAGATGGTACTAAAACTTAATACATTATTATACATAATTGATTTTTTTCATAGTTTTGTCTTCCTTACTGCGTCCAGTGTTTTATGAGTTGAGCTTCCAAGTTCAAGGGGGAAAATTATGGAAATAGAGTTATGAACCTTGTCACACAACATGTGTGTAATGATAAGAAATATATATTTGAAGTTTAAAGTAGATACCTTAAAAAGTAAAGAAGTTATAATATTTCTTTAAAAAAAAATCCAAAGTTCAAGTGGAGATAAATCTGAAAATATTGATTGAAATGTTATGATCCTTATCACATAAGATGTAATTGATGATAAGGAATATGCAATTGAAGTTTGAGGTAGATACCGTTTAAACTAAAGAAGTTATAGAAAAATAACATTTTTCAAGTAAAAAAAGTTCATGGGTAGATAATTCTTGTATTATTGATGTCAGAGTTATGAACCTTGCCATGTTACATGTGGTTAATGATAAGGAACATATATTTGAAGTATGAAGTTGATCCCTTAAAGATCCTGTAACACAATTTTTTCATGGTTTTATATCAAAAATATGATCCTCAAATTAAGATTTGTCAATATTGTAAGTTCCAATAAGCATTATTTATAACGATATTACCCAATTTAACATTTCATGTAAATAAAGGGAGGTAATTAGAAAGTTATTTTCTATAAATTCTTAGTCAAATTTTCCAATAAGAAATGAATGCATGCAATTTATTGATTACATATAATGTGCACAAATATTTGCAGTACACATTTTACATATTCTTCGATGTTTGAAAATTGTTTTATTTGCATAATTATATACATATATAAACTTTTGCAAGTGTGGTATACACACAGTAACAATATCAATCACAAAACATACAGGATCTTTAAGAAATAAATAGGTTACAGTAAAAATAATATTTTTAAAGGAAAATTCTAAGTTCAAGGGGAGATAAATCTGGTAAAATATTGGTGCTAGAGTTATGAACCTTATCACATAAGATGTGGTTGATGATAAGGAACGTATATTTGAAGTATGGAGTTGATACCTTAAGAAATGAAAACGTTATAGTAAAAAATATTTTACTGCACCGAAACTTTAATCTGAAATCTGGGCGCGGACGCCGGGGCGAGTAGGACAGCTCACCATATATATGTTCTTCGTATAGTTGAGCTAAAAACAGTTAATTCCCTTTAGTTTCTAGCTATTTAGCTTACCTATATAAAGTTTTACATTTCATTAATACCTATGTTACTATATATAGTAAAAATATCTAGGGTATTTCAACGCAATTATGGCAAGATTTAGATCACTATGCAATTTTAGCTGATTTCTACTTGACATTATTTATACATAATAGGTAAGTGAATGAGCGCACATGCTAAATGATGTAATCAACTCTTAGTGACTATCAACATGGCTGCTGTCTTTGAATGAACTGTAGTCACTTGCACGCAAAATCTTAAGTTTTGATGATATAATTAATGGCAATCAACAAAGCTTATCAGCATATTTCTGTCTTTAACAGTCTGACTTGAACAAGGCGACAATAATGCGCATTTCATCTTTGTATTAATGGTTCCCATAAAGTTGTGTTGAATTTCTGCCAGTAGTTTATATAGAGAAGAAGAGTGGAAACTGATACTATTATATATGCACAATCAAGGGCCATAACTCTGTGATGAAGGGTCTGACCAGTACAATAATATTATCAGTTCTATTTTTAATCCACTGTTTTGTCAATCTACAATGTGACTGATAGACAGACAAAGGCTTTTTATGCACTCCACAGTCCAGAAATTTATTTAATCCATGATTTTCTTTAAAATATTCATATATAATAATATAATGCAACAAAAAATTATATTACTTCATCCAAGTTCCTATATGATTTCCACCCAGCTGGAAAATTTGACCAGTCTCTGTACTGTGCCTCTATAGAAAGAATAAAAAGTTGGAATTAAAGGATATTCTAGATATAATCAAATTAAAGATTCATTATTTTGATAATCATCATCATGTATCATTTACTTACATGTATATGATATAACAATATTTCTATATATAATAAGTTAGTCTCTGAACTAAAATCAATCCACGAGATGATTGTAGACCAAAAATCAGCCAGCACATCCGTGTCTTCTGATTATGGGCTGAACTGTCAGTACTTATTATTAAAATGGTGAATGGTATTGTCAAGAATGAAAGATTGATACTTCCATTTAAGATATTTAGGTTTAAAAACCCTAACACGAATTAAGTCAATGAGATACAATGCTAAATGTAAAATCTTTAACAGAGTTAAATGGTCACAGAGTAAGACAGTAGGACTATTGTCAAAACTGTGCATCTACAGTACACTGTAAAATTTTAATCATAATGATATTTTTATGTAGTTTTTCACCTTTTCCCCTCTAGGTTAACTTGACAGTTTCTCCATAAGTCTTTCTGCCTCCTCTTGGTCTGATATATACAACTATCTGTCAATGGATCACTCTTGTCCTGATATATATAACTATCTGTCAATGGATCACACTTTTTCTGATATATACAACTATCTGTCAATGGATCACACTTGTTCTGATATATATATACAGCTATCTGTCAATGGATCACACTTGTTCTGATATATACAACTATCTGTCAATGGATCACACTTGTTCTGATATATACAACTATCTGTCAATGGATCACACTTGTTCTGATATATACAGCTATCTGTCAATGGATCACACTCGTTCTGATATATACAACTATCTGTCAATGGATCACACTTGTTCTGATATATATAACTATCTGTCAATGGATCACACTTGTTCTGATATATACAACTATCTGTCAATGGATCACACTTGTTCTGATATATACAACTATCTGTCAATGGATCACACTTGTTCTGATATATACAACTATCTGTCAATGGATCGCACTTGTTCTGATATATACAACTATCTGTCAATGGATCACACTTGTTCTGATATATACAACTATCTGTCAATGGATCACACTTGTTCTGATATATATAACTATCTGTCAATGGATCACACTTGTTCTGATATATACAACTATCTGTCAATGGATCACACTTGTTCTGATATATACAACCATCTGTCAATGGATCACACTTGTTCTGATATATACAACTATCTGTCAATGGATCACACTTGTTCTGATAACTACAGCTATCTGTCAATGGACCACACTTGTTCTGATATATACAACTGTCTGTCAATGGATCACACTTGTTCTGATATATACAACATCTGTCAATTGATCACACTTGTTCTGATATATACAACTATCTGTCAATGGATCACACTTGTTCTGATATATACAACTATCTGTCAATGGATCACACTTGTTCTGATATATACAACTATCTGTCAATGGATCACACTTGTTCTGATAATACAGCTATCTGTCAATAGATCACACTTGTTCTGATATATACAACTATCTGTCAATGGATCACACTTGTTCTGATATATACAACTATCTGTCAATGGATCACACTTGTTCTGATATATACAACTATCTGTCAATGGATCACACTTGTTCTGATATATACAACTATCTGTCAATGGATCACACTTGTTCTGATATATACAACTATCTGTCAATAGATCACACTTGTTCTGATATATACAACTATCTGTCAATGGATCACACTTGTTCTGATATATACAACTATCTGTCAATGTATCACACTTGTTCTGATATATACAGCTATCTGTCAATGGATCACACTTGTTCTGATATATACAACTATCTGTCAATGGATCACCTCTTAATTTGTAGTAATATCATCTAGAACATCAGTACAGCATTGCTGATATGCACTTGCTCCTATTATCTCTCTTACAAAGTGCTCCTCAAATTTCACCTTTTGGTTCAAAAATTAAAATAATAAAAAATTTATCATAACCATACATGCCATTACGTCCTGGATGTCCGGGACTGTCCCGGAGATGATTTATGTCCCGGTAAAAAAAACGAAAATAATCTACTTTGAAGCAAGAAATTTTACATTTTTATATAATTTTATTGTCAAGTTTTTATAAACTAGTCTAGAACGCTTATAACGAATGATTATCCCCATTGCAACCGTGACACTAATCCTTTGATTGGTATATCTACGTGCCCCTTCCAACAAACAATTATCGGCAATCATTTTGATCAATTAAAAGATTAATTGTTTACCCCCTGAGGCTTCCTGAGTGAAGGTGTCATAACACTGTAATTGACAACAGTTACTGGCCAGTATAAATTTAATCCGCCTGGAGACAGTTATTAGTGGTCAAACACCGTGAAAATTACCTCTAAATATAGCATAACATAAATTTATTGCATAAAACTCTTTTACAAAGTTTATAGCAAGCAATATATAATTGCGGCAAGTACATGAAAACGTGTTTTCAGAAAAGAAACAAGAGGGCCATGATGGCCCTGAGGTCGCTCACCTGTATATAGCCCCCCATCCCCACCCCCGGGCCAATTTTTACCCAAGGGCTTTTATTTGTTTATTTGAACAGACTTGGTAGACACCCATAAGAAGATGTTTCATGCTAAACATCTAAGTTCTAGCTCATTGGGTTTTTTAAAAGAAGATTTTTAAAGTTTTTACTATACACATATAGTTAAAAACAATGACACCCCTGGGGCTGGGCCAGTTTTGACCCCCGGGCTTTTATTTGAAAAAACTTTGTAGATATTTACTTAAAGATGTTTCATGCTTAATATCTAAACTCTAGCTATTTGGGTTTTTTCAAAGAAGATTTTTAAGTTTTTGCTATACACATATAAGGAAAATCAATGACCCCCCGGGCGGGGCCAGTTTTGACCCCAGGGCTTTTATTTGAACATACTTGGTAGACACCCATTAGAACATGTTTCATGCTAAATATCTTAGCTCTAGCTCTTTCAGTTCTTTAAAAGAAGATTTTTTAAGTTTTTACTATATGCATATAGGGAAAATCAATGACCCCCTGCGGTGGGGCCAATTTTGACCCCAGGGCTTTTATTTGAACAAACTTGGTAGACACTCATTAGAAGATGTTTCATGCTAAATATC